AAAAAAAATGGAAAAAACGCTATTTACTTGGCTTTCTCAGCTTCGTACTCCTCCATCTGTTTTTTGAACTCTTCATCATACTTAGATTTTTCATCTTGTGGAATAGCAGTAGGAGTGGAAGCTCGGGCATCGGTTTGGATGGAAAAGACCGAGAAGTCAAGGACATCGTGGTCATCTGGGAAAGAACGCCCATAATACGGAGTAATCGTTCGGAAGCATCAAATATGAATGGGAAAGAAGTACCAGCAAGGCCACCAGTGGCTGCCGACATTCCGAAGTGACCGTTGCGAGGCAGAAGGATGTTTTCAGCTCTAAAATGTCCCCAATGCGCTACATATGTTAGTCAAAGTACTACTAATACCTCATGCAAAGCTCAAATCGTGGTGTTTGCTGCATACCATCGTCAACGTAGACTGTGAGCACATTCTTCAAGTATTCGATACGCAAGTGAACAGGATAGGGCTTGTTACGGAAATCTCTTTGACAGCCTAGGATATATGAGGTATGAAAATGTGTACAAACGTCGACAAACCAACAAAAAGAAAAAGTAAGCAAGACGAACAACCATTATTATAGTGCAAAGACAAGGAAAACTACGCGACTTACTAGCAAGTATCTGTTGGCTACCATCTGTCTGATGATCGTATGAGCGAGTACCATCATTGATCATCAAAGCGATAATGGGGTTATTCTTCTGGCCATCGTTATCGAAGGAATCCATGAAAATACCTTAAATATTCCAATTTCGGAACCGCTAAGATAGACTAAGTGAAGGAAACCTTGTAATGACAAAGCACAACTGTGAAATAAAATGCGCTGCAAAAGACTCTCGCGAGCAAACAAAAGCCTTACCCATTCCAGTCCAGAAGTCATTAGCACCAAATACAGGTCCGATACTTCCCATTTGCGCGGTATACCTGAAGTCATTGGCTATTTGAATTTACGACCTTTTTTACTCAAACTCACCAAATGGCCATTCCATCAGCGCCGATACGGCCCTGTCCAGCGACTTTCAGACTAACATCAACCTAAATCCATTAAAACTACTCCTTTCAAGCTAAGACTCCTTCTATAGCGCATAGAAATGCTTATAATAAAGAGAACGACCAAATGTAGACAAAGTATGAGAAGATGAACATAGATAATTGTACCTGGAAGTTCTCGCTCTCTTGCATTGGTCGCTTATTCCAAACGATACCTTTTCTACTTCGCATTGATGGAGCAAGACGTAGTTGCTCTCCCGAAGCGATTGCATCCCCAGATACCTGAATAGTTTCTCCACTGGCTCGGTAATTTCTGTTAGCGGTTTTATTTCTTGTGGTATCAAGAACTACTATTCTATCGATTTTCCAGCGCATTATGCACAGATGTACAAATGATATAGCCTGCTGTTGTTCTGTTATTGCTGACGATGTTTTAACAGCTGAATGCGCGCGCGCCAAGCGCATACAACAGACACAATCCCAGTTGAATTGACTGAACACACCACTCACCATCCAGAACGGTATTGAGCCATCGCGTTGAGCGAGATTTGGTGCTCGGAACGAATGTTTGTACTCGAACTTTCGGAATACCGGCTGCTGACTGTTTGCCAGGCCGATTGTGAGTATTAGGAATCCCCAAGGCCAGCCCATGCCTATAAATTTGCAGAAAAAAAGTTACGAATAATTACGCCACGACAATCAGCAAATTTGCAACATTGGCGAAAGTGAGTGGAGATAAGGCCGCGACGACTGACAAACAAAGAATTCACGAGCAGGAAGAAAGAACAAGAGCGACTTTCAAACGAATAATCCGATCATATTCTAATAAAAAAAA